GCCCAGGAAAGGTGAGTCCAGGAGCCTGGGGGAGAGAAGAGCTCACCCTAGACCATGGGCTTCAGATGTTCCTTATCCACGTACTGCATTTCTTTGTAAAACCTGGAATTTTTCAATTTCGTTTTTAAATTCTCTGCAGTTAATTTTCTTGTGTGATGTGAGGTGAAGATCTAAACTGATGATTTTCTACTTTCAAATTTCTTTTCCCAGTGTTATTTGTGTATTTTTTTTTCTATCGTAGTTAATGCTTTCATAGTCATTAAATACATCCCTAGGGTCATTTTAATTGTTTTTACCCTGGTACTATACTGTTTAAATTATTATACCTTAATAATATATTTTGATACTAAGAAAGACTAATATCCACATTCACATGTATATAGTATTTATTATGTAAAATTTTGTTTAACGTTTACTTGCTATTCTTCTCTGTATATTTATTTCTAAATAACTTTAGAGATCAATCAAAAATTCCACTTTACCATATTATTCAAAGACAGCTCCCATTGAGTCCTGATCACATATGTATAAAGAGGGCTCTGGGTATAGCTCAGGGGCAGAAAACTTGCCTAACTTGCACAAGGTCCTAGGTTCAATTCCCAGCTCCACAAATAAATGAACAAACAGAAAGAAGAGTACATATATCCTGAGTTGGTTATTTATTTACTTTTACAAAACTGCTAAGCATTTAATATTTATCAAATATTCTTTGAAAACAAGATTTTTGATCACCACATATTCAGTTGCATCAACTTTTTTTAGTAACTTAATTGTCTCATTGTTGAACTGTTAAGCTATTTCCAAGTTTTTACTATAATAAACAACAGTGCACTAAACATTCTTATACATGTATCTTTATTTACACATACAATTATTTCCCAGACATAAATTTCTAGAAGTGAAATTTCTGGGCAAAATAGTATGAACACTTTTTGAAGTCATCTTTATTGTTCTGATAACTTGTGCCAATTTTTATTCCACTAGAAATGAACAAAGGCCGCTGTTAGTGTATCAAGGATACATTTTGATGAAAAGACTAGAAAACCTTTTCATAGTAGATTAACTAGGTAAGGGGATTACTTGTCATAAAACAAAAATTCCAAGTGTAGGTCAGGCAGGTGGGAATTAACAATGTTAAAAAAGATATTTGTCTACTTTGATCTTACTGCTTCACCATCCTATGTACATGATTTTTCACTTCCTGATCACAGGATAACTATGGTCTCTCCAGGCATTATATTTGTATTCCAGGAAGACTAGGAATATTAATATTTTGCTACCAACATTAGAAGAAAGGAAGAGAAAACAGAGGTTTGAATGATGAACTGAGTTTATAGCCGGAAATTATAATTTACTGATTTTTGTTAACTTTGAATTTTTTTAAAAGCAAACTTATAATTTGCACTTCTTTATTTATTTATGAAGTTGAATATTGGTAACTATTTTTGGCCAGAGGGGGGTAATGAGGATTGAACCCAATGGTGCTTTACCACTGAGCTATATCCCCTGCCCTTTTTATTTTTTATTTTTAAGACAGGGTCTCACCAAGTGACTTGGGCCTCACTACAATGTTGAGATTGGCCTTGAGCTCACCTTCCTCTTGCCCCAACCTCCCAAGCTGCTGGGATTCCAGGCACATGCCACTGTACCCAGCTTCAAATGTTGATCCTAATATGAACCTTGTTTTTTCTATTTATTTATATCTATTTATAGATCTTTTTCTTTATATAGTTTAGACCTATTATTTTGTGTGTGTGTTTCTAATTTCCTCATTGGATAGAGCAGATATCACAATTTTTCTTTGCAAAGAATCAGACAACAAACACTACAGACTTTTTGACCACATAATTCTTTGTTGCGTACTCTTTACTTTTTTGATTTGTCTATTTGCTCGCTTGCTTGCTTATTTGTAAAAACCTCTGAACATGTAAAGATCATTCTTAGCTCGCTGATCATACAAAACCGGGCTGTGAGCCACATTTGCCAAACACTGATCTTGAACAGATTGTGACCTTCATGTTATTCCCCTCTGTTTTTTCACCCTCCTACTTCCTCCTGGAATTTAGCATATGACCTGGTCTGCGGTGGATTCTCAGTATAATTTTTTTTAAAGAATGAATCTGATCTCTGCTTGCTAAATTAGTATTCTCCCTACTGAGGCTTAATGATTGTGTTTAAAAAAAAAAAACCCTCCATTGATAGCATTCCAATGTCTGCTGTGAGAAATGCAAAATTCTTGGAGACACCCACACCTTCTCAGTGGCCATTCCTACTGAGAGATAGATAGTTGGGGACACTGGAGGTCAAGTAGACACTGAGTGCTGAAAATATACCCACCTTGTCTCCAGAGGAAACAGAGAGAAGTAAGGAGAACAAAAGTTCCCCTCACAGGGCTGGGGGTGTAACTAGGTGGTAGAGCCCTGGCTGAGAATGCAAAAGGCCCTGGTTCAATCTCTAGCACCAAAGGAAGAAAAAAGAATTCCCCTCACCTAGAATCCTCCCTACCATCCTCTTATAGTAATCACTCTCCATCTGCCCAAGAACCCTTAAGAGAAGAGCCTGTCCCTTTGAATTACCTTGGTTTTCTCACAGGTAAGTTAGAAATAAGAATTCAGGTTCACAGTTCTTTATCCAAAACTCAGCACCAGCTGAATATTAGAAAATTTGAGGATTTTCAGAAGAGTTAGGTTGAGACAAGCATGGTGGTACACACCTGTAATCTCAGTGACTCTAGAGGCTGAGGCAGGAGGAACACAAATTGGAGGCTGGCCTAGGCAACTTAGTGAGACGCTGTTCCAAAATAAAAAGGGATAGGGGTGTAGCTCAATGGTAAAGTACCCCTAAAATCAATCCTTAGTATCAAAAGCAAAACAAAAGAAAAAGGAAAAAATGAAAGAAATCGGTCAAACATACCATATATAGCCCAACATCTCTAACAGAATCTCTAGCAGCCCTCATAATTGAATATGGTACTCATTTTTTGGAATTATGGATTAGGAATTATAGATTTGTACTGACCTGATAAGACTGATAAAGGGTTCAAAATGAGATAAGAAATAGTCATGCCCTTTGCACAGAACAAAACACTGACAAAACATTAGATCATATCAAATTCTTAGTAAGTGTGGGCTGGCTCACCATCTGCTGCCTAATACCTGCTCCCCAGATAGTGTGGCATCAAAGGAAAGTCAAAGCAAGCCCTCCTGATATGCCTTTTGTGGCTGGTGGAGTTGAGAGGATGAGGGGCTGGGTGACAGTAAGGTCAGGGGCAACCACCACTGTCCCCAAGGTCTATTCTTCATGTCACAAATAAAAAAAACAAAAACAAAAAACACTGTTTCTGGCAGTCACCAGTTAGTTGGTCCTTTAAGTTTGTAAGATCGATGCCGTCCCATGACTATAAATTATCAGGATGATGCCAGTCCAACTGTCTAGATATTTCTCTATCAATAAAACACAATTTTTAACAGGACTCAAGTTCCTTAGCTATTCTACAATATAAAGTCTTCTAGCCAGGCACAGCTGTGAACGCCTGTAATCCCAGAAACTCCAGAGGCTGAGGTTGGAAGATCACAAAAATGACAAGTTCCAGGCCAGCCCCACTGACTTAGCAAGACCTTGCCTCAAAACAAAAAATGAAAAGTACTGGGGATGAAGCTCAGTGGTAGAGCACCCCTAGTTCAATCTCTTACACCACAAACATTTTTTTAATTAAATTAAAAGAGAAAATAACATCTTCAAAAACTAAAGTGATAACAACTGCATGAAAAATAAGTAAAAATATTATTAAAGCATGTAAAAAAGTTCCAAGTGTGCATATTTACTATCAAATGTTTCAATATGACTCAGTATTACTGATTGATTTATCTGTGACAAGAACTGGAAACTCATAATTCTTGTACAAATTATAAAGTGTGCCCTGAAAATTCAAGAAATAGAACCCATTCCATGCTTGTAGAACAAGACTAACCATGAAAATTACTCCATCTCTGATTTTTGTGCATTTATTTCCATTGGTTGGACTGGAAAGAGGAGCGTTGGGGGAAGTACACATACTTCTACCTAACTGGTGAACCCAGACCTGTCAGTTGACTTCTGAAGGTGTCACTATTCTCACTTAGGAAGTAGAAAGAAGGGGTTTGAGGTTTGATAGCTCCAAAGAGAGATGAGGAAAATGCAAGAGGGACCTTCAAGGACACACTAGGGAGCCCCGGGGCTGGACAGCCTGTGGCCTCACTGTTAGCCCAGGAATGCTTGTTACTCTTACCCAACAAACAGCATTGTGTATTTGGGAGACACAATCTTCAATTTTTTTCCATACTAGGGATTGAACCCAGGGATGCTCTACCAACAAGACACACCCCAGCCTTTTTTATTTTTTTACTTTGAACAAGGGTCTCACTGAGTTGCCAAGACTGGCCCTGAACTTGTGATCCTCCTGACTCAACCTAAAGAGTAGTTGGAATTACAGGCTTGCACCACAACTCCTAGCTACGTTTCCTATTCTTTTATTTATTTATTGCACCAGAGATTGTACCCAGGGGCACTTAACCACTAGAGCCACATCCCTATTCCTTTTTACTTTTTCATTT